GAAAAAGAAAAAGAAAAAAAAAAAGAAGAAGAAAAAGAAGAAGAAGAAGGTGGAGTCACACAGGAAGTTCGGCTGGTGAAGCTCCGTCTCTTCTTCTTCTCTGCTCCGGTGCCCTCAGACGACCTGAGACCACGACCCTGGAGTTGACCCCTCCCTGATTTACCTTCTGTGAACGCTGCTATGTGGACGAGATTCTGACGCCGTCGACGGTGACGCCGGTAAAACCAGAACCCGGCCGCTGTCAGGAGGTGGAAGGTCACCACCAGGAGGGACGTAACGACCGTGGGGTCGGAGAACAAATCCATCCTGACGCCCAGACTGGACCTCAGATCAACTGCCCACCAAAAAAAGTTTCGCAAAGCAAAGAAAGTTCCAAAAAAAGTTACAGCCAGTGTCGTCCGGACCACGACGATGTTCCGGCGCCACGGTTTGAGCCTCTGCCTTCCCTCACGTTCTCCTCGGCTCCGGTCATTTCTGCAGCATCTTGACTTTGATCACATGAAGACGAAACAGAACAAGGTCTGAGTCCGACTCTCCATCCACACAGTCTCTCCCCCTCTCTCTCTCTCTCTCTCTCTCTGTGTGTGTCGAAGCCTCGCTCGCTCGCTCGCTCACTCTCACACTGTAGCCTCGCTCGCTCGCTCACTCTCACACTGTAAGAGTGAATTCCTTTCCCCTGAAACAAACCTCCAGACTGAAGCGTTTGCTCACGGACGGTTAGAAAAACTGACGGTGCACAGAGTTAGCACCAAACACAGGGAAACGTGTGCGGTTACCTCACTTTCTCTGAAAGGAAACCACAAGGGGGCGCCCACACCAACTTCCTGTGTGTGTGTCTGCCAAGCTGTCTGTCGACTTCATCTGATTCAGTTCCATTAATGAACTCTATTTAAATATGTTATTATTATTGTGTGTGTGAAAGAGAGAGAGACAGAGAGAGAGAGAGACAGAGAGAGAGAGGTTGTTTTCTGAGGATAAAATATTACTATAGATTAGATATCTAATAGATTAAGATTAGGATTATATACTAATATATTTTAACATATTAATATAAATAGATTAATAATATTTTAAGGTCACAGTAAGACCTTATCTGTGTGTGTGTGTGTGTGTGTGTGTTTACCTCGGTTGCCATGGGTGCGCGACACATCCTGGCAGCCATATTTATTCCACTGCTATCTTAGAATAATATTAGCGAACGGTGACGCTGATATAACTGAGGTGTGTGTGGCAGCGACGCTATATTCATGTACATGTCTGTGGTGGGGACCGTGGAGACGTGTGTGTGTGTGTGTGTGTTTGACAGGAAGTCTGAGAGACTTCTCTAGACCATTCACACCTCGCAGCAAATATATCTCTGTGTGTGTGTGTGTGTGTGTGTAGCCCTGGCAACATCCAGGCAAACACACATACACAACCACAATCAACCTGGGGACATTTCATGTCGTCCACAGAGGACAGATTTAAAGAGTTCTTCTTCTTCTACTGAACCAAAGTGAACGTCAAACGTCCTGCAGTGACATCATCAACAATCTGTTACAATAAAGCATCATCATCATCATCACATAATCCAGATGACACAACCGAACGAGGCAACGGTATTAAAGAACTACAATACCCACAATCCCCTGTGGCTTTAAATGATAAAACTAATAGTTTTTTCTATTTAAAACTAATTCTCACACAAAACAAGACAACACTCTAATAACAATGACTAAAGAAGTTTTGTCACATTTTCCAAATAAAAGCCATGACAGATTAGAGATTAGAGATTAGAGAAGGTCAAAAAACAGGAGGCAGATGATGCAAAAAAAAAAACCCACAAAAAAAACCTAGAGACAAATCAAAACTGTGACTGACTGAGAAAAGAGAAACCAACTGAAGAGGAAACTGAAGAACCATGTCAGA